TGATGGACTTTGAGGTCCTCACCAAGGTCCTGCAGGAAGAGCCCCCACTCCTGCCCAGTCACATGGGCTTCTCGGGGGACTTTCAGTCCTTCGTCAAAGACTGGTGAGGAGCCCTTGTCCTGGCCCTCCACTGCAGGAGGTGGGCAGGTCAGGTGTGGCCCCAGCTCAAGGCCGCTGGGGAGGTTCAGGCTGGGAGGGGGATGGAGAGGCCATGGGGGTGGGACAGCTGGAGCCAGATCCCTGGGAGCCATGGGTTGGGTTTGGACTTGGCCCCAACAGCGTTTGGGTGGCCTGGGGCTTTACTTCAGAAGGGTATAAACAAGCAGAGGTGCCCCAAGGCAGAGGGCTCCAAGCATCCCGCACCAACAAGCAGAATTATTTGCGCAGGAGCTGGGGGTAGGGGAGCCTCCCTTCTCCCACAGGCACTCTACCCTGGTTCAGGCCCCCGTGCTAGGTGGTTGCAGGCCCTGGGTCCTCTGCGGTATCCCAGCTGGCAGCACAGGGCTGGGAGGATGCAGCAGCTCCTTCCCACAGCTCCCTGGCTCAGCGGGTAGGGCAGCTGAGCCTCCTTCCAGGCTCTCACTTCCCTTTCCTTCTTTCTCTGTTTTCAGCCTTACTAAAGATCACAGAAAGAGACCAAAGTATAATAAGCTACTTGTGAGTATCTGGGGCCCCTCCCTGCCTTGTCCCAGCCTTGCTTCCCAACCCCTGCGTGTCTGGACACCCAGGGCCTGAGCGAGGCCAGCAGGGAAGTTGCCCTTGTTCTAAACTCCCCTCTTGGGCCCCGCAGGAACACAGCTTCATTAAGCGCTATGAGACGCTGGAAGTGGATGTGGCGTCCTGGTTCAAGGATGTCATGGCAAAGACCGAGTCACCGCGGACTAGCGGAGTCCTGAGCCAACACCACCTGCCCTTCTTCAGGTAGCCGCGTGGTAGCGGCCAGCCCCACCGAGGGGCCGGGGACATGGCCACAGGCCCCCCTTCCCTACCTGGCTACCAGCTGCCCGTCAGGGGAGACCTGGGACCTGGACGGCCACCGAGGGCTGAGGACAGAAAGTAGGGGACACCAACCCACCTCTGACTCCCTGCCCAGCAGCCATGGACAGATGGGCCTGCTAGGCCCTGTCCCTTCCTGTCCTGGGGTCAGCCGGCTATATGCATCCCCCCGACAGACACTGTGAACGGAAGACAGCAGGCCGCGAGCAGACTCGCTATTTATTCAGTTGTAACCTCTGGGTTGGGGTGGCCCCCAGGGGCCAGGAGAGAGTTGCCTGTTCTGCAGCCTCCCACACTTGCTCCCTGTCTCCATCTCCCTCTGTCACCTCCCTCAACGCCTCTCTGGTTTTCCCCAACTCCCTCCCTGCCTCTCTCTTGACCCACGCCCAGACTCTGCCACCCCAGTGGGAACCCTGGGTCCGCTTAGGTCTGTGGCAAGGGATGAGTCCTTCGGCTGGTGTCCTCCCCCAGGAAGGCAGGCTGGGCATTGTGATTGCAGCCCATCAGGCTGTTCTTTTTCTCTCTCTCTTTGATCTCAGGGGGTCCTTTTTTGGAGTTTATTGTATTTTATTGTACTTGGTGGGGTGTTTGGGGGGGTGGGGGGAGGAAGAAGAGCTCGTTCTCATGGGGTTTGTCGGTACCTTCAGAAACTTTTACCAAAGTCATGTTTAGCTGCTTGTGGTGGAGCCCCCGACTGCCCATGGGCACTGGGGGCCAGGCCATTGAGGCCTGAGCCACTTTGTCTCTCTCAGCCTGGCCTGCCCGAGGAGACTAGTCCCAAAGGCGGGGGCCGGGGGTAGGGGCTCCTCCCTTGGGGCTGGAGACTGGCCACAGCTTGTGGAGGTGAGTTGAGGACCTCGGGGCGTGGAGGAAGCCCACGGGGCTGCGGCCACACAGAGTGGCCTTCAGGGAAGGTGGGTGCAGGGCGTGGTGGAAGGCAGCAATGCTGGTGCGGCAGGGAGGAGGGAATGGGTGGCGGGAGTGGGGGCCGAAGGGCCCAGGAAGGCAGGAATCGAGGGTGCAGTGAGTGGATGTGGGGGTTCGAGGATGTGTGACAGGGACAGAGGTAGGGCAGGCCGAGGGCTGGGCATGTGAAGGTAGTCATGCCCTCATAAGTGCCCTTGAGTGCCCCTCTACTCCCCCAGAGCTGGCCAGTCCCCAGCCCACCTTGAGGCTGGGTCATGGTGCCCCTCTCCCCCCAGCCCTCTGCAGCAGCCAGAGCAGGAGGGGGTGTGTTTCCTTTTTGTTGGTGATGCATGCAAATCAAGTGGATAACAAAACAAAAAAAAAAAAGAAAAAAAAGAAAAAATCCCACAAAACCACAAACCAACCAACACACCAAAGGTGAGGAACCTCGCTGGGTGTAGCTGGCGCACTCTAGACTTAGCATAGGCGTCACTGTAACCTCTGTCCTAGCGACTCTTGTTACTCTTACAGCCATGAAGGCCGCATGTTTAAATTAAAGTGTTCCACCTAAATAAAGGGACTGGGTCATATTTACTTTTGCATGCTACATGGTAGGTGTTCAATAAATGTTTTTAAACTGAGCAAAAAAAAAAAAGAAAAAAAAGAAAAAATCCCACAAAACCACAAAAACCAACCAACACCAAAGGTGAGGAACCTCGCTGGGTGTAGCTGGCGCACTCTAGACTTAGCATAGGCGTCACTGTAACCTCTGTCCTAGCGACTCTTGTTACTCTTACAGCCATGAAGGCCGCATGTTTAAATTAAAGTGTTCCACCGGCTTCTCTCTGTCCCCTCCCACCCCCGGGTACGGCCACCTCTCTAGCCCCAGTCCCCTTTGTGAGGGGATGGGGGCAGGATGTGGGGCCAACAGGCCTGGCTCTGCCCTCCCTTTTGGGTCCCAGCCACAGGGGGCCTTTGCTGGTAGCCAGGTCACATGGCTGGTCCCAGGGCCAGCAAAGGCCCAAGGCCTGCTGCCCGGGTTTATTTTTATTTAACTTTATTTTGTGAGTGTGTGTCTACCTGTTCCCCTCCCCTTTCAGTGTTAAGTGGGAGCGCTGGGGGAGCCTCTCCTCTCCTCCTGCCTTTGCCATGTTTCCTCCTCTGTCTCCAGTCACCAGCCATCCTTCTGGACCAGGCAGAGGGCGGAGCAGGCAGGCAGGGGCCTGGGGTGGCCTGGCCCAGCCCATTGGCCCACAACCCCTTCTCAGGCTGCCAGTATTGCCCCTTCCCTTTTTAAAATGAAACACCCTTGTTTGTAAATCTTTAGATGCTTGAGAATAAAACCCCTTCCTTTTCTTCCACTGTGTCTGTGGTGTGACCTGAGCCTTGGCAGGACGTGGCATGAGACTTGAGAAGGGTCTGCAAGCCCTGAACTTACGGGTTGGGGGCTGGTGGAGCAGTGCCATTCCGCTGAATGAGGACTCTGCATTGAGGAGAAACTGAGGCAGGGTTGAGGCTGATAGGGTGGTGGTTGTAGTGACTTGCCTAATATCGGGCAATATGGAGGGACCCCCCCCCAATAGACACAAGTCCAACAGGAGAGGAGCTCTTAATCCCTGGCAGGCCTTGGGCAAGGGCTCTGATGTCAGCCTGTCAGTCTGCCACCCCCGCTCCCTGCCTCCTGGAGTGGCTGTCCAGCCAAGGACAGGGCCACCTGCCCACCTGCTGGGCCTGAGTGCTGCCTGGGCTGGCACAGCTGCTTCTGGCTCCTGCACACTCACTGCAGCCAGTCCAGCATGCTGGGTACCATGTTCCTGCTGCTGGCCTTGCTCCCAGGGACCTCCACCAGCGGGCTGCCTGGTACGTAGGGGCCAGGATGTGCCATCGTGTTCCCATTTCTGTGCCTGCCTTTCTTGCCTCAACCTCTCATCCACCTTGCCTGGTGGAATAGGGGTAGGTGGGTGGTGGGTTCTGCTCTGTCCCCCACTTCCACATTCTCTGGGATCCCCAACTTCTAAAGTCCACAGCAGCCACATGAGACCAAGGTCTGTGGGAGGGGAGCAGTGTGTAAATGCCTTTAGGGAATGTGTGTGGGGGCCATCCTATAAGACAAGGACCCCAGCCGAGTGCCTTATGTCCATGTGTGTGAATGTGCTTGCTGTCAGGGATTAGGGGACCTCCATGGATGCTTCGGTCCTCCACCCCCTGCCTCTACTCTGCTGCAGCTGCCCTCAGCTGGGGAGTGAGGAACCTGGACAAAAGCTTCAGAGCCTGGTGGCTTAGCTGGGCTTGGGCTGTGCCAGAAGGGCTGGGGAAGAGCACCCCACTTACACCTTAACTCTTGAAAGGGAACTACCTCCCCTTAGAAAGGGAAGGGTGGAACCAGCACACTGCCCCCTCCCTGCCCCCATGGAATAGGGGTAGGTGGGTGGTGGGTTCTGCTCTGTCCCCCACTTCCACATTCTCTGGGATCCCCAACTTCTAAAGTCCACAGCAGCCACATGAGACCAAGGTCTGTGGGAGGGGAGCAGTGTGTAAATGCCTTTAGGGAATGTGTGTGGGGGCCATCCTATAAGACAAGGACCCCAGCCGAGTGCCTTATGTCCATGTGTGTGAATGTGCTTGCTGTCAGGGATTAGGGGACCTCCATGGATCCTTCGGTCCTCCACCCCCTGCCTCTACTCTGCTGCAGCTGCCCTCAGCTGGGGAGTGAGGAACCTGGACAAAAGCTTCAGAGCCTGGTGGCTTAGCTGGGCTTGGGCTGTGCCAGAAGGGCTGGGGAAGAGCACCCCACTTACACCTTAACTCTTGAAAGGGAACTACCTCCCCTTAGAAAGGGAAGGGTGGAACCAGCACACTGCCCCCTCCCTGCCCCAAGCTGGCCCTGCTACAGCCCCAGATCCGTGACCAGCCCTGACCCTCGACCCTCAGGCACCCCTCACCCCCTTTCCCCGCCTGGAACTCCTTCACTCACTGCTAGAGAGAAATCGAGGTCCCTGAAGGGGAGCTCCTCCCCAGAGGCACACAGCTTTGTGCCGGGCTGTGATGTCCCAAGGGTCTCCAGGGGGCTCATCAGAGCCGCTGGCCTGCGGATGGTGAACGAAGCACGGAGCCAAGCTTAAGTGAATCCTCTACCGCATCCAAAGGAGGCGAGGAGGTTGGATGTTTTGCCCGAGAGCCTAAAGGGCAGCGCGTCCTCCCTCCTCTGTGCCACC